TCAAGAAAAACTATCGACTCTTATCGCCGTCTTTTACTATTAGACAAGAATTAATTGATAGGGATTTGAATGGAGATAATGGGCTTCATGTGGGCTCTGATTGTTATTATCAGGGATACTCCACATCTCATCCAAACAGTTCAGCCGCTATATCAATGTGTGACGGAATGGTATGTCTTTCACACATATTATACTGGATATTGTTTTCTTGATAACCACTTAAATTAAAATTAATTAACATTTATTATTAAAAGAAATATTTCGTTAATTGACAAAAATATTGCATTATTTCTTATAATACCCATATTTTGCATGCATTTTCCACTTTATTATAATAATATATCCATTCATTAATTCCTTTATTCTGATTTTATTATACTTTACAATAGCATATACTTTAGGCAAAACATTGTATTATAGCTATAATTAAGCCAAATGTAATTAATTGTGAGCTAAACTTTATATGTATAGTTAAGTAACGGATATAATGAGTTCATTGGCTCTTATATTATTCTTGACAGAGAGGTGTCATTGAAACAAAATCAGCCATTTATGTCATCAATCCATTGCCGCAAACAGTTATTAGTCGGTCCAGAGGTTGGAGTGGGGGAGCGGGTGCTGGGAATGAAAGTCAGTCACATCTAACACATCCTCATATCATTTTGAAGAAAGAAAGTCTCGATGAGTACGAGTGTCCGCACGAAAGTAAGTGCTTTCACGCATTCATGCCTTGGATTTACTGTTAATCGCGTTAAGCATCACATCTCAAAGCAATCAAGACATGTGTTGTTGGCGTGAATGCCATAATAAGTTGTTATGATATAATAGTTTTGCAATTCCTGTTAATAGGAAAGCATATCAACGAATCCGACGTTAATTACATTGACAACGATCTCAACACCGAAAGCCACAGTCGTTATCGACGTTCAGCCAAAAGTGACGGCCAGGAGAGCAAAGAAGAAGACAATGCCATCGACACGAGTCTAACCGTCGAGACGGCGGTCTTCATCGACGAAACGCTATATACACTAATGAAGCGCACGTTTCCCACGGATACCGAGCAACAGATCGTAACCTATGTCTTGACGATCATGAATGCCGTACAACTGCTCTTCAAACAGCCCTCATTGGGTCGCACTGTCGACATCTCAGTCGTTCTCATGGATATACTTAAACAACAGCCCAGAGTAGGTCTTATTTCGGCTCATATTGTATTGCTATTCATATAACCAAATATTAAAAACACAAAAACATTATTTAGCATGTTTTATTATTTTTACTTTTATTTCTACGTGTATATACTTATTCTGCTATTACTTATTGACTAAAATCCTTAGCATAAAAAATTTTATTAAATTTTTATCGATTAAAATTAATTATTTAATTCATTGAAAGCTTTTTGCACAATATGTGTAAAACAATATCACTATAATTGAATGAATCAACAAATAATTGATAGCTTTAATTACAATTTATTTTTAAAATATTAAATAATCGTAGAACTCATTTGTAAATATTCTTAATTTTAATGACAATTTAATAGTTACTCAAAATTCAATGCAAACCATTGCTATCATAGCAATGAAATAATGAACAGAGAAATAAGTTAAAAAGTTTTATATCCGACCCTTTAATAGACTTTATAATATACCGTACAATATATGGGGTCATAGTCTGAACGCCACAATATAATAAGGGTATTAATTGCATAATATGTGTGTCAAAGTAAACACAACAAAATGCACACAAAATTTAAATTATTTCAGAATATAATAAATACATAAAAAGCCAATAAAATTATTCATTAAATAGTATGAGTTTTTTTGCTTTTACTTAGAAATTAAAATTTATTTATTGTTGAAAATAATTTACAATTTTTGCAATATTCTTGAAAAAAATTAAATCTTGGTTAATGTCATGAGTATATTATTTAATTTTATTTAGAATATTAGATTATGTGTTTATACAAATTATTTGCTAAATTAAACATATTTTTATTAGTTTTTAAATAAAACCAAAAAAGAAACAAAAATTAAAAGTAAAGTGAAAGAAAAATAAGTACTTTAAGAAAAGTGTTAATAAAAACATAATTTATTCTTATGTTAAAACCACAACAATTTTATTCATTAATTAATTTTTAATTAATTAAAATTTTACATTAAAATTAATCAATTCATTTTCAATAATGATTTATTGGTTTCGATTTTATCATTAATTTCCTAAAACAAATACTTAATAATTTACTGTATATTACAGTATATAAAACCAATATTTAACATTTTTTGTAGGACTTGGCCTCGTCTGACAATATCGACACTTATTTGACAAACTTCTGCGTTTGGCAGCACAAGAAGCGATCCACTAGTCGAGGACTAACACCTCGATGGGATCACGCTTTACTATTATCAGGGTATTATTTCATTAGAACTCTTATTTGAGACGAAAAAATAATTATTGAAATAAATGGTTATTTGAAAACAGTATAAACATGTATGTCGTGGACAGTTTGGGCCGTAAGAAGCGACATGTCGTCGGTTTGGCGCCCGTCAGCGGAATGTGTAATTCACTCAATAGTTGTACGATATCTGAAGGAACCAGTTTTCAAGTATGATTATTACCTCAGCTATTCATTTAAAAGTATTGATTAACACAATTTTGATTCATTTTTTTGCCAAACATTTAATTTAACATTTATTTTAAGTCATAATTAATATTTTTTAAAAATCATTTTATTTTAACTATCATTTAGTTACTAAATATAGCATTTATAGTAACAATAAATTGCAATAATGTGTAACAAATCCACACGAATATAGTATATTGAAAACGCATATATTTTTCCAAAAACTAATTTATGATCTGATTTTACAGACAGTATTAGTCGCGGGACACGAAATGGGTAATGATATTCATGTCATATAAACTTTTTAATATACAATAAATCTAAACAACGGTTTTTTCTATTTGCAGGGCACAGGTATTGCAGAAATTTCAATCAACAAAATAAAAAAATGAGATAATAATGAAATGAATGCAAAAATTGACACAAATTTTCACAAAATAAACAGCTTAGGGATGGAACACGACGGCACACAAGACGGCAACTCTTGCAATAACGACAACTTTGTAATGTCGCCCACTTTGGGGGCCGGGAAGACAACGTGGTCGTCGTGTAGTCGCGAGTATCTCAATAAGTTTGTGCGGTCGAGTCAGGCCAGTTGTATAATCGGGTCGAGTCAACACATAAACATAATCAATCAATTCATTCCGGTCGACAAACTTCCCGGACAGGCCTTCAATGCCGACCAACAGTGCGCTCTGCGGTTCGGCGCCGACGCCCGACACTCCTCTATACAGCCATTGGAAGAGATCTGTCGTTTGGTTCGTTGCGACACCGGTTCCGGTCGTAATGCTATTGCATTTCACGCACACCCGGCCCTCGAAGGCACCACTTGTGGCCATAAAAAGGTATTTTAATCCATTTAATGGCTTAAATCTATTAAAATCTACAAATGCTTTATAAAGTTTTATAGTTTTAATGCCGTGCGTGTAGTGATAGGATTATGAAATATCTTTGTCTTAATTGTCTGTTAAATCTTTCATACGATTTAATAGTTATATTGAAAAATATATGTTTAGTGGTGTCGAGAGGGGCGTTGCGTTCATCAAGAGCTTCACATCAAGAGCTCTGTCTATCAATCAGTGATATCGACGACTGAATCTCAGCCCCAAAGCAAAGTGATTGACGGCGGATGGAGTGAATGGTCTCATTACAGCCCGTGTCGGTCCGAGTGTGTAACTCATGCCAACAGAAATCCAATGGGAGTTATGGTGTCGAAGAGGAGGTGCGAGAATCCAATGCCTTCTAATGGGGGCAAAGAATGCGATGGAAGTGATAAACGGATCAAACTATGCGATGCCAGTCAGGTATGGATCATATGTTAAACACAACACTTGTTTGCTTTTAATAATACACGATATGTTGTGATCAACAGATATATTACAAGAGCTCTTCCACTCTATTGTGTGATCTTTGCTTTCATATCGTTTTCATTGTGAATATTTTGAGCGTTTAATTCAAAATTGAGATTAGATTTAAAGTCATTTAAATACTGTAGTAATTAATGTAACAAATAATGAACTATATTTAAACTCAAACTATTTATTATCAGCGCAAAGATCTTTGTCTAAAAGCAGCAAATAATGATCAATTCATAGTGTCTTAAGTGAGAGAACCAGTCTATCGATTGCATCCACACATTAACCCATAAATTAAAGTTTTCATAGAGTTTTTCAGATCCCAAACGGATCACGAGTTTGTAAAAAATAAATGACTATTCTTTGATAGCATAAGTCATTACAAACATTAATAATAATGAAAAATAATTCAAGAATAAAATTATAGGTTTTCATATAAAAAACTAATTACAGAGGGATTTACTAAATACTAAATATTTAAATAATTTTTTTCGTTTCTCTCTCTCTCTCTCTCTCTCTCTCTCTCTCTCATTCACTCACTCAATGTATGCGCTATTTCTTCGGAGTTTTTAATGTTTGCATAATTCACACATTTTTTGCCCCAATTTTTTAAACAATAAATAAATGGAAAGTCGTATATATTTTTATTTTCATTACAATTAATTTAACGCTTATTGAAATGCAACAAAAAATCACATTTCAGTAAATATTTGTTATGAAAAATTGAAATATTTTGAAAAAGGGGTTAAAATCATTATACAGTATACTTTTATTAGGAAACTATAATTTACGATATAATCATTTCAGTTTCACACAACACTTTGAATTATGCATTTGATCCCAATATATAATGTCCACAGATTTGCAGCTCCTATTCGTACCGAAACATAGCGGTCGAGGAGTATATAAGCGACACGTGTAGGTCTGCGGCCATCAGGAACACCAATCTGGAACCCAAAGGCACACAATATCCCAGCTATGATTGTAGGCAACAATTCATATATTTTTCCCAAATCTATTACCTATGAATATATAGTGATATTGATTTTGAATGCATTAATTAGCGTCTCATTCGTGTTACGTTTGGTGCCATAAGAAGGGCGGCGGTTATATGACACAGGGCTGGAAAGTGCCCGACGGGACCCCATGTGGTCAGGAGAACGGCCGCAATAATAACCGATTCTGTTTCGACGGCGAGTGCCGTCACTTTGATTGCAATGGTTTGAGTAAAAGCCACGAAAGCGCCGAACGATGCACTTCCAGTTCAAGTGAGGCCAACATTTAGGTTAACATTGTTTTCACACTTACATTAATACTGGGCTTTAATTAATAGATTTGCTGTACGAAAGCCCTGCGGATGAGGGGTGGGGTCATTGGTTTCCTATAAGCAAATGCAGATATAATTGTTTAACGGAATCAAAAGGCTTTCGACTTGTGAGCAGAGATTGTAATTCAATGTAAGTTTTGTTTTAATTATATAATGAATTCATTTCCAATGCATTCGCTTATCATATGAAAAGAGAAATTTACTTTTTTGATTGATTTGTAAATTATATTTCACATTTCAATCAAAACAGATATTTTTTTGAGAGCAAAATTTGCTTTAATCTGTGGATTGAATTAATTTCAATAAAACTTATTGTTTGAAAACTCATTTATTGAAAATGAAACTAAATATTAATTAAATAGATTATGAGTTTTATCTGACATTTATTTCAGTTTAAAAATATATTAAGTTTGGCTTTCATTTCAGATATGTTTACAAACAATATTATTTATCAAATAATTTATTCCTAATTATTGTTAGTTTTTATTAATATAAGACAAACAAAAGAAACTTTCGCTAAGAAATGTCTATAAAACACTTTAACAACAATTGAATACAACTTATACCCAACCCTCAAATCAAACGATGCACTGATCACTGATGGCATCAATGGTTTAGTTTTCAAAACAATTAATCATAAGATAAATGTTATATTTTTTCAGTGAATTACATAGAGTTCTGGTAACTTGTTTTTAATACATTTTTACACATGTTTCCGAGCATTACATGTGTTTTATTTTTAAAATACAAACTTTTGTTTAGTCCGAGTGATGGTCACCGACCCCTCCGTAATGAAACTCTTCCTATATTTATAACATTATAAAAACCAAACATTACATAATATATTGAATCTGTCCTAAACTACAAGAGTTATGTCAAGCATTTGACTCGTTTTACAACAAATATAATTCATTTAAATCTTTTTTTTTTTGTATTAACAAATGAAAAATATAATTTTATACTCAATTAAACGATACGTTTAATAAAATACAACACAAAAATCACTTTAATTTATTGACTTATATTAATATTCCGAACTTGAATTAAAATGCTCTCAAATTAATTAA